ATGTCATTTATAATATTGTTTATATAAAAAATAATGAAATAATTCCGTTAATTAACGTGACAAGTCAGCAAAATTTTAACGGAGGGACTAAAAAGGGGCCGGATTTGTGAACAGTAAAGACAAAAAAAGGGATTTTTTCGGTACAGAGACCAAAAAGGGGCTTTTTCCTATAGTAGAGGGACCGAAAAAGGTATTTAACCAATTCATTATCAGCAACAAAAGGCATGTTGTTGAAAGTTGAGTTGACTTTTTGGAAAATTTGCTATTCTATAAGTATTAGTAACATAGAGATTATTGATGAAAATCTATATCACCAACAAACAATTCCATGATACTGATGGTTGATTGCTAAAAAGAGGGATTTTAGTAGTGCCTCTTTACTCTCTAAAATGAATAATGATAAATTAGAGTAAAATTTGGAAATCAAAATTTAAAATTAATAATATAATATAAATTATATTATTTAAAATATTAAATTATAAAATTTATATTATTTAATAATTAATTTTTTTATTTTTTTAAACTTATAATTTTATCTATATTAACTTATTTAATAACTTAAATTACATCACATTATTAACCAAGTTTTCACCTCAAATTTTACCATTATTATTTCTTCGGTTTTATACCAGTTGAAAAACACGAGTGCTTTTCTCATTAAGAAAAACCTACTTTTTTTTTTTCCAGCAACGGGTACATTTATCGATGGAAAATTGACACTCATCCATAAATGATTTGACTCGATCTTTCTTTTGTTAAAAAAATATTTATTTATTTTATATTTTTAATATATAAATTGAAGATGTAATTAATATATTTTTTATATTAATTAAAATAAAAATTAATATTAATTTTATTATTAATGTTATATGTATTATTTAAATTAAATAGTTAAATAATTAATTATTAAATTTTATTTTTTAATAATAATTAAAATTAAAAAACATTTTTAATTTATATATATTCTAAAAACATGTATTAAAATAACTTACACCCTAAGACACGCAAGTTAACAACTAGGTTGGACGGGGACTAAGTCTTACAAATTCCTCCATTACCTATTTTCAAAAAAAGTCTTACAAATTCCACGGAAAGAAGTTTCGATAGCATGTGAGGTGGGGTGGGGCCCTGAGTCATGGAATTCGCAACTTCTCTTTCACAAGCTCCAGTCATTGGGACGAGAACAGCGGAAATTTTTATCGATGAGTGTACCTAGACAATTTGAGCACGAAACCATGTGAGGTGGGGTGGGGTCCCGAGTCATGGAATTCGCAACTTCCCTTCCACAAGCTCCGGTCCTAGGGACGAGAACAGTGGGGATTGTTATCGATGAATGTACCTAGACAGTTTAAGCACTTGTCTAGTTACTGGAATTTCTGTCTGCTTTAAGACTTAAAGAGCTGAGATTTGATCAATACATTAATACCGCGGGCTTGTGGAAATTTCAGGGATGGTATGAATGGGATGACCTGATGCAGATTACAAGAATTTTCCTTCATATACCAATCAATTTAAAGGGCTTATTTGCCCTCCAATTTCTGATAAATCTTTAAATGGAAAATGACCCATTAAAATAAAAGATAAAAAAATGTGAAAAAAAAATAGGATCAATGTATAACAATAATAATTTTATGATAAATTTAATAAAAATAAAT